GTGGCGGGGCCGCGAGGGCCGCGACGGTGATGGGGGCAGGATTGGCCTTGGTGGGGTTGAGGCGGGGGCTCCGGCGTTGGCCGGGTGGGATGAACGCTCTAGGTACCTCCGGGAAGGGAAAATTGAGGAAAAGCAGAGCATCGGCCCTGCGCTGGCAAGAGCCCGAGCAACGCTGCCGGGCCGGGAGCGGGCACCCGCCAAAGGTGCAAAACGCCTTTCTTTGTGGGCATCGGGCGAAGACGTCAGCCGTGTCATCCATGCCCGCCTGTAGCAACGTTTTCCACCACCGGGTCCCGTCCAGGAGGAGGGAGCGGAGCCTCACCAGCCGTTCCCGGAGCGTTCGGGGCACAGAGGGGCAGGCAGGGAGAAGTGCTGGGAAAGCAGCAGGGAGGGAAGAAGGCTCCTCCTTGGGCATGGACAATACTGGGCGCTGTGTCCAGACTCTGACCAGGACAGGCTGGGGGCTGACCTGCTGGAGAGCAGCTCTGCCGAGAAGGGCCTGGGAGTCCTGGTGGACAACAAGTTGACCATGAGCCAGCACTGTGGCCCTTGAGGCCAGGAAGGCCAAGGGTCTCCTGGGCTGCATGAGGCAGAGTGTTGCCAGCAGGTGGAAGGAGGTGATCCTGCCCCTCTACTCTCACCTGCACTACTGGGTCCACTTCTGGGCTGGGAGACATGGACAGACTGGAGCGAGTCCAGCGGAGGGCTACAAAGATGAGGAAGGGACTGGAGCATCTCTCCTAGGAGGAAAGGCTGCGAGAGCTGGGCCTCTTCCGCCTGGGCAAGAGAAGGCTCAGGGGGGATAGAAGTACCTGAAGGGAGGGTGTCAAGAAGATGGGGCCAGACTCTTCTCAGTGGTGCCCAGCAATAGGACAAGAGGCAACGGGCACAAACTGAAACAGAGGAAGGTCTGTCTGAACATGAGGGAAAACTTCTTTCCTGTGAGGGTGACAGAGCCCTGGAGCAGGTTGCCCAGAGAGGTGGTGGAGTCTCCTTCCTTGGAGTTATTCAGAAGCTGTCTGGACAAGGTCATGGGCAGTGTGCTCTAGGTGACCAGGGGGGTTGAGCAGGGAGGTTGGACTAGCTGATCTCCAGAGCTCCCTTCCAACCTCAACCATGCTGTGATGCTGAGCTCCCCAAGGGGAGGACATGAGATGGGGATTGCTCTCTGCAAAGCATCATTTCCAACAGCTCCAATACGTCAAGCACAAATGCTCCAGCTCACGGAGATGCTGAGGAGTTTGCATGTAACATGCCTCAGCTTTCAGTGTGTCTTGTGACTAATTAAGCGAACGTGAGAGGAGATCCTCGCCAGCAAACCACAGCCATCTGCCAAATCCCACTGCTCCAGCCTAATAAATGCTCTATCAAAGGGCCTCCTTCATCCTCGCCCTGGTGTTGCCAGGTCTAGTGCGGCTCCCATGGGCTAAGGAACCGCGTGTGGAGCCGCAAGGACACCGTCTGCGGTGTTGGCGGGCATAGCTCACGTGGGGACGGGCAACGGGGCTCCACGTGCTGTCGGTAAGAGCACAGGGAGCGCCAGGCAGACCGCCGCACACCGGGAGCACAAATGAAGTTGAGTGTGCGGGAGATTACAAACGGCTGTTCCCAGCGAGATCCTGGGGGAGCAAGATCCTGCCGTAACTCCATGAAGTTCTCGTATCCTACGATGTTTGGGGGTTTCTATGGAAATTAAAAAATATAAGTATATCCATGCCTGGTAAAAGAAACACCTTGATGCCTCGATAGATGAAGGGGGTGAGAAAAAAACAAGAGGTCGGCAGTAGTATCAGCCAAGCAAGCGGGCTGAGCAAATTAGGAACTCTTGACAGCTCATGAGTTCAAAGGAAGCTGTTGCTCGTCTCCGCTGAAGCTATCTAACAGCATAGTTATTAGGAGAAAGGATGAGTACTTCCACTGCCCACCAAGGCCCAGAAAAGGCAATCGCAGCCCTGACCTAGGCCAGTCTTGCCTACGCCTGGGCGACGAGCG